GAATGCAGTGACTAATAATTTTCTTTTGTTCACGAATTAAGGGTGTTAGGAAAGCCTAAAACATTTGGTCCTTTTTATCATTACATTGGGTGCCAACTTTCTTTGTCTCCTATTGAAGCTGTGATTCTGGTTACTACCTTTTCTGAAATCAATGCATTAAGCTGGGTCCTTGTCTTATTTATTTCCTGAGAAACATGTTTTTCTCATTATCAGGTTCTTGTTAACCTTCACCAAGCAGTTATTCCTCATTTGACAAAACCTAATATGCTATGGTAAGTGTTTGTGATACATAAAATGTAATTTTTTTTTTTTGGCAAATAAATTTAATTTTTATGTTTGTCGATGTTGACTTGTTAATGTTGATTTGTTTATGTGCAGCGATTTCTTAACAAGGTCGTATGATGTTGGGGGTGTTGTTAGTGTCATGGCTCTTAGCAGCCTTCATGTCCTGATGACCCAGCATGGAGTGGAATACCCAAATTTCTATGAAAAACTCTATGCTCTCTTAGTTCCATCTATCTTTATGGCTAAACACCGAGCTAAGTTTTTCCAGGTAATGCTCAATTAACTACTTATCAATTACAGTTGCAAGTTAAAATAATTAACAGGATGGAAGGACAAATTTGGATATTCACAGCATAAATCATCCCCCCCCCCCCCAAAAGAGAAAAACTGATGCGTTAATCAATCATTGTTTCATGGATGAGAAGTCATAATGCATTGTTACAGCTATTAGGCTTGCCTGAGGAGTTTAGTCTGCTGCAGACCTTTGAGCGACATATATTTCTCTATTTTAATGTAGATTTTGGATATATTTGAATAAAAAAGTAACTTTTAATGTGAACAAAATGAAGAGCAAGGTACATGAAATGATAATCAAGGCATTCTCTTAAGCAACAATAGAAATAGCAAAACCGAAAATTGACTCAAAACTGATTACAGAAAAGATGCATCAAGTCAGTGTTCCCCCTAGGTGTGCGTCTCACAAGTACCTCAGAAGTAGCCTTTAAATGAGCACGGTGGGATCCTCATGTAGAACACTTCCCTGAATATCTCATATGGGAAAAGTTAAAATGTTTGAGCCAGCACGAGGGTTGATCAGAAAATATTCAATTACATATTGAAGTTTACGTTAATCTTTTCTTTTTTCTTTTTCTTTTTTTTTTTTGGATGAAATGAAGTTTATGTTAATCTTGTACGTATGCTAATTGCCAATTTTTGGCCGCTTATAATTTGGCATCTGCAGCTTCTTGATTCTTGCCTTAAGTCAGCTTTTCTTCCTGCTTATCTGGCTGCTTCATTTGCGAAGAAATTGAGTAGACTGTTGCTTTCAGTCTCTCCTTCAGGAGCATTGGTTATCATTGCCTTGATTCATAATCTCTTGCGGAGACATCCTTCAATTAACTGCTTGGTTCATCGGGTGAGACACAGTACCCTTGTTTTCTTAATTCATTCTTTTACATTTATTATTTTTCCTGGATTCTGTGCTTGGCTTATGGACTTGAATTCATTGTCTGTTGGCCCCACAAAGATGCCTTTTTTGTCACCAAGAACCTAGTTTAATTAAGTGACACTCGTAGCAACTTTAGGGGCAGTTCGAATTATCCTTTGATCTTCTATCTTTTTTTGAGATATCTATTTGTGCCAAATTCTGGAAGTGCACTCCTCTTGGTAACACGTATGGTACATCTGTGAGTAAAACAATTTCTTTCTTATGTTCTGATTGGACAATAATTTATTCTATGGGCAGGAGGATGGTGATGAGGAAGGGAAAGATGAATCTAAAACAAATAAAGTCATCTCTGATAAAATTGATGACTCCAAGACTGGTGCTATGCCCTGCAAGAAATTAGGCATTGACCACTTTAACAATGGGGAAACTAATCCCAGGGATTCTTGGGCAATGAGTAAGTATCCAGTTTATTTTATTCTTCTACCAAACTTTGGCATATTGAATGCCCTAGAGTTCAGGGAATTGCATGGTTGATATAACTGAATGAAACAACTTCGGTTTGATAACATCTTGCATATTTCAGCCTGTTCCTCCAAATTGTGAATTATTTTCTTATTCCATTGGTTTGATACATTCTTCATATTTTGCCAGCTCCTCCTGGACTGCCGTTACACTGCTTGCTTCTTACATTGATGCTAGTTCATATTATCAATACATGCAAATATAGTACTAGAACTTCACTTCTAATTTCTTGTTCTTGAGAAGATCATCTCAGGTGTTTTGAGATCAAGACTAAAGCTTGTATTTGGTAGTTTCTTTGTCTCATATTCATTATCTCAGATGTTATCACTTGTATGATTAGGCAAAACAATGTAAGCTAGGCTGAAGGACTTTAGATTATGCAGAAAGATTCTATCCGCCAGAGGTCTGAATATTTGGAGCCATTTAAGCGGGGGAACTTGTGTATTAGCAAGTGTGAATATATCAATCTTCAGTACTTACTGGAATATGTCTCCTCTGCTTACTTTTTCCAGTGTGGTTGTCTGTCAAGTATATTTAGGAGGCAAAATTCTATATATCCTAAACTTTTCAATTAATGAGATGTCTTGGAGCAGGGAGTTCTCTTTGGGAGACAGATAGCATTCTTCAACACTACTGTCCTCCTGTGTCAAGGCAAGTGTGCTGATGCTGACTATTGTCCTCTTGATTTTCCTTTTTATTTTTTCCATCGTGTTTTGACTTGGAGAAACTATACCCTTAATCTCACATGCCTTTGTTTTGCTGTTAGATTTGCTTTGTCTCTTGGGACTGATTTGACCGTGAGGGCCAAAACAAGTGAAATAAAGGTCGAGGATTTCAGTTCAGGTTCATATGCTACAGTATTTGGAGAGGAGGTGATATATGATGTTTTCTCCTTTCTCTTTTTTCCTTCAATAATCCCGCTTATATTGTTTGTACAACTGAAGAATTGAGGGGAAGCACACATCGGCTGATGACAACTTAACTATTAATTTGCAGATTAGGCGGAGGGTAAAGCAAGTTCCCCTCGCATTCTACAAGTCAACTCCATCCTCTTTGTTTTCAGCTACTGATTCTGCCGGTTGGACTTTCAAATTGGAAGCAGAAGCAGCCCAAGAGATTAATGAGAGGGATATCTCAGAACATTTTTACAGCCCTGCTAAACGGCAACGGAAAGAAGGTCCGTGATACATGTTTCGCACCAACAAAATCTGCAGCCTTGTTAAGTTGCGTCACCATTCTCTAGAAATCTGCAGATGTCGCTTCTTGGTAGGGACGGGTTTGCAATCTGAAATAATTAGAGGTGTTGATGATCACGATGGATTTTTCTGTATTCATTCAGTAGAATTTTGATTTGATTAAAGATGAGAAGGAAGTAAAAGAATAACGGTTATTGGCACTATCTACTTTTCCTTTATCCCATAACTCATATGCCATTACCTTTTGTAACTAATAAATTTAATTTTGTAAGCCTAATTTGCTTATTTCATTTAAACAAGTATATTGGGGTATTTGGATGAGCCCATAAGTGCTTTTTAAAAATATTTTTCGTAAATTGAGACAAATTTTTCTACATATTTATTTTGTTAATCGTGAAATCACTTCTAATTATGGTTTTGTTTTTATCTAAACACTTTATAAGTGTATGATCTTAAATGATGAAAATATATCTATTACATAACTTTTTTATTTGGTTGGTTGGAATGTAAAAAATGAGCTAGTGGTAATAACCTATGGTAAAAAGAAAAAAGAGGGGAAATTCACCTCATTTTTGGTTGAAGTTTTCTATAAAATAAATAAAATATACGTTTTGAGAATTTTAGTAGGTTTATGATGTTTTTAATTTTTTTAATTTTTTATGAATATAAAGGTGTGATATGATGTGAGTGAAAAATTAAAATATAAAAGTAAGGGATCATATGTCAAAATAATACAATAATACTAAAATACTCCTCCCGTCCTTATTATAAGAACCAATTTGACTTTTTATTTGGTCCTAATTATAAGACCCCAATCCATTTTATCTCTTATATTTATGCATTTTTTCCCAAGATAATCCTTCTAATAATGATAGTTTTAACCAATATACTTAATTAGCAAAGATATTTTAAAAATGACAACACTTATTTATTATAAATAACCAACTTAACTTACTTCCTTAATCTCCTCAAATAAGTCAATTGGGTTTTATAATTAGGACCGGAGGAGTAGATAACACCGTGAATGTACTTTTTCTTTCTCATCCCTCATCCCTGAAACTAATGCAAATTTCCAACATTCCATCAAAATTGAAGAGTTTGAATTTGATAGACCATTTTCCAAAAACGGATTTTTTTTCCTGAATTAAATGGAAAGGCATTGACAACCAAAAGTCATGAGCGGATAGAATTTATAATTTATTACCTATAAAGAAATTTTTATGTCACTAGATTAAAAGTTACTACCTCCGATCTTAATTATAAAAGTTAGTTGACTAATTTGAAGAGATTAAAGAAATAAATTAAGTTAGTTATTTGTAATAAATAGATGATGTTTTTTCTAAAAGATCCTTACTAATCAAGTATATTAGCTAAAACTGTCATTATTAGAAAGACTTTCTTAAAAAAATACATAAATATAAGAGATAAAATAGATTGAGATTTTTTAATTAAGATTAAAATAAAAATTAAATGAAATTTTATATTAAAAATTAAAGGCAGTAAGAAAGGCATATCGGCTAATGTCACTCCCCCGTATTGTTGGAGACGACTGATGACGGCTTAGTTTTAATTAGGACCCCACGTGGCATTCAGAAGGTAGTAAACCTAAAATCGGGCCAAAAAAAAATAAGGAAAGTAAACCTCAAATTTTCTTTTTATTAGTGAAAGAAAATCTTCGTTGAACACATATAAAAGGAAAAGAAAAAAAATATGGTTGGCCAAAAAAAAAAAATATTTTTTTTTTTTGTGGCTCGCCAGCAAGGGAATAATAATGTAGCAATACCGTTTGACGATGCTGTTAGGGTTTCTGTAAATTTGCCGGCGAAATCATGGATCTGCATAGAAAGAGGCATTATCATGACCATTCACCGCCTTCGACCTCAGACTCTCGCAAGAAGTGCCTCGCTTTTTCCCATAGATCACCTTATCAGTACCACGATGGTCAACACCAACTGCCCCAACAAAAGTGTCCCACCTTCGTCTCGTACCTTGAGGTCCCAACGCTGTCTCCGAAGATCAAGACACTATGTGAAATCGTCTCCAGTACCCCTTCCCTGGACGTCGAGAAAGTCCTCGATGAGGCTGGGATTCCGATCACTCAAGAAGACGTCGAAGAAGTCCTCAAATTGTCTTACGGGTTTCCGGGTTCTGCGGTGAAGTTCTTCCGATGGTCGGGGTACCAGCTCAAGGACAACCATAGTCCCTACTCTTGGAATCTGGTTGTGGATTTATTGGGCAAGAATCTCTTTTTCGATGCAATGTGGGATGCTATTAAATCTATGAAAAAGGAAGGGCTGCTTTCGCTTGCGACTTTTGCTTCTGTTTTCAGTAGCTACGTTGCCGTAGGCCGTGTCCAGGAGGCGATCATGACTTTTGATGTTATGGAGAAATATGGGTGTCCACGGGATATTATTGCCTTAAATTCGCTTCTGAGTGCCATTTGTAGGGAAGGCAGGACCGTGGATGCGTACGAGTATTTGCGCATTGCCAAAGGGATTATTAGGCCAGACCCTGATACTTATGCTATTTTGTTGGAGGGATGGGAGAGTGAACGGAATGGTACTAGTGCTAGGCATACTTTCGCAGAGATGGTGATAGAGATAGGTTGGGATCCAAGTAATGCACCCGCTTATGATTCCTTCCTGTGTACTTTAATTAGGGAACCCAATGGGATCCATGAATCTCTTAAATTCTTTGATTCCATGAGAGAAAACAAGTGTTACCCGGGTATGAAATTTTTCAAGGTTGCCCTGGATGAGTGTGTCAAGTGTCATGATACCCGGGTTGCCGAGATGCTCTGGGAGATAGTGGTGGAGAGGCTGGGCTTGAAACCCGATCCACGTATGTGCAATGCCATGATCGCTTTGTACTGTTACCGAAATGATATAGATACGGCAAAAAGAATGTTAGACGATATGGTTTACAGAGGGGCATTTCCTGATTCATTAACTTATAACTTGTTATTTCGCTTCTTGATCAAGGGCAGGAAACTGCAGGAAGCTTCGCTGCTTTTCACTGAGATGATAAAAAATGAGTGTGTTCCCGACCAGCCTAATTGTGAGACAGCTGTTAGAATTTACATAGATAGCCGGGATCCTAATATGGCGATAAGAATTTGGAAATGCCTGGTGGATAATTTCAAGAAGGATCTGGAGGAGACAGCAAATTTATTGGTCGTAGGACTTTGTGATCTAAAGAGAGTGCCAGAAGCAGTTAAGTATGCAGAGGATATAATTGACAGAGGAATAAAGCTAACATCTTCCACATTGGCTAAGCTGAAGCAAAGCCTTGTCAAAGCAAGAAAAGAATTCGTGTATGAGGGACTTGTGAGGAAGTGGAAGACTCACGAGGTAGTTAGACTTTACTGAATTTATGCATGTAAAAATCAGCATTGAAATTTTTGCTTGTCTCTGCTGCACTCGGACGTGCTTGGCCAAAACTATATGCAGTCAGTTTAAAATTCTGCATAAGTACGGTATGGTTTGATCATGGTCTACCCTGGATAAGTATAGTCCTATTGTGAACTTTGGTTTAGTTGACCTTCGTGGTTTTGACTTTTGAGTTTACGTTCTGATGCTAAAACCGCCACAAATAAGTGGGGATAAGCTGTCTAGTGGATGGAGATTTATGATGGCGTTACTGAATTAGAATGATGTTGTTCTGTTCCCTTTTGTTCTCTTCTTCCCCGATACAATTTCCACTAGGGAAGAGGAATGGCTCATTCATATTGTGAAGGTTGCATAGTCTGCAACAAGGCATCCTATGGCTGTAGGGTTGTGCTCGCTGAGCACTACTCTTACAAGTCGAAACAGCTTATGCTCTGATACTCTGTATGTTGAAAAGTGAAGCTTTTCACTTCTTTTTGGATAAATTGACAGATAGGATTCATCGGAGGGACAGAGAGATAGCATTGATGCTGTTCCTATGGTCTTCTTTACATGTTTTTCGGCCTGAGTCTTCTTTACATGTTTGACCTTGTATTTGGAGATCCTTTTTCAGCTGTTAACCTTCTGACCTGTTTTTGTGGCTTCAAACGATATGCAAGTTGAAGTGGAAACTACATAACAATCTCTATATCCTGGTCTGCCTTCTGCATGCTAATCCGGCATGAATTGTCTAATTGCATTAAGCTGGGTGAATGATTGAAAATGCAGGACGAGTTATGGATATAAACATTTATATGTCGACATCGAATATCAATATATCAATTATTATAAAATATGAAATTCATATTAAGTCTGACTAGGAAAGAAAATATGTTGGGCCTTTATGAAGAGCCTATGACGTGACCTACTTTAAGTCTTGTCTAGCCTATCTTTATTCAAATAAGCCATACTCAGGCCCATTCCTATTGCCAAACCTATTCAGGCTGAGACAACAAGCCTATTTGCTTAAAACACGGTTATTTATATATTTATATATATATATATATATATATCTCTGTTTTTTTTTCGTTTTTTGAATTTGAAGGGCATGCACTCACTGCGGAAAATCTCTGCTTTTTTTTTTTTTTTTATGAAAAGAGAGTGATGACAACATTCATAATTAATAAATTATTTATAAAGCTACCATCTTAGTCTTTACCATGAGTTTTATGATTCATCATTTATTCACAGGTTTAATCCTTTCGTTCATCAGCAGCTCACCTCTCTAATGCTAACTCATTCTCTCTCCGGCTGTGTCGTTTTCTGAAGGATCATAATTGTTATATCCAACAAGCCTATTTGCTTAAAACACGCCTATTTTTATCTCTCTTTTCTTTTTTTTTCTTTTTTTTTTCCCCCTTTTGGGGGGAATTTGAAGGGCATAAACTTATAACAGTTATTATCCTTCACTAAATGACACAGAGCCGGAGGGAGAGTGACTTAGCATTAGAGAGGTGAGCTGCTGACGAAGGAAAGGGTTAAACCTGTGCATAATTCATCTTATTCTGGATTCTTAGACGGACAACGATTTCTTTTTTCTTCAAGATTTATAGAGTACAAACACGCACATGAATATGTTAATGTGAGACTAAAAGATATGTTAAATTATATTTTTTCAATTCTTAATACAAGACATATTTAATTAATTTAATTAGATTGAGAAAGTAAAATAAATTAGTTGATTATAAAAAATATGATACATTTTATGTTTCTTAATATCTTTTTTTATCTCCTACTTAATTATGATTTGAAAGAGAATCACTAAAAGTAATTTAAAAAAATAATAAATATAAAAAACATGTTTTATATTACCTCCGGTCCTTAATATAGGACTATGTTTGACTTTTATTTTGGTCCTAAATATAAGACTTCAATCCACTTTGTCTCTCATATTTACATATATATTTTTCTAGGGGTGTTCACGGGACGGATCGGGACCGGGACAGGCCCGTCCCGGTTCCGTCCCGATGAACAGTAACGGGACAGAAAATCTGTCCCGTGTCCCGGCCCTTCCCGGGGTTGTCCCGGTCCCGGTCGGGACGGGACGGGACGGATCCGGGACGGAACCGGAACGTCCCGAAATATTTTTTTTAATTTTTTTTAAAATTTTTTTTAAAAAATCTGATTTTTTTAATTATATTTTTTTGACCTTAAATCTTATAAAAACATCTTTTTTATTTGTTTGGGCACTCTTAAACAAAAGCTCAAAATATTACATATAATAGTTATTAAAAACTCTAAACAAAAGCTTTTAACACAATAAAAACTTGCTAAAAAATCTAATCATCAATAATCTCAAATCATTAACAAATATAAAAACTCTAAATAAATATATCCATAGTTCCATACAATAGTCTCAAATCTTAAAAAAATATGAAAAAAATGATATTATATAAAAAGTTAAAAAAATTAAATTTTTTTTTTAAAAAAAGGGACCGGGACGGGACGACCCCGTCCCGTCCCGGTCCCTTTTTTGTCCCGTCCCAGTTTGTCCCGTCCCGAAAAATTTCGGGACGGATCCGTCCCGTCCCGAAAAATTTCGGGACGGATCCGTCCCGTCCCAATAAGACCGGGACCGGAACGGGCCGATCGGGACGGGCCGGCTTTGAACACCCCTATATTTTTCAAAGTAGCTCTTCTAACAATGATAGTTCTAGTTAATACACTTGATTAGTAAGGATATTTTAGGAAAGACAATATCTATTTAAAACAAATAACTAACTCAACTTACTTCCTTAATCTCCTCAAATTAGTCAAATGATTTTTATAATTAGGACCGTAGATAGTATTTATGATCAAAATGGACTCAAAATATAAGGACAAGAGGAGTACTATATTTTTCATTTATTGGATGCTTTTTTTTTGGGGAACATGGCAAATAAAGACTCCCTATATATGAAATTGCTATTTAGGACCTTCAAATTGGAAAATGGCTTCAGAGGACCCAATCCCATATTGCAATATGAAATCTTAGTAAAATGTTTGAAATACCTCTTAGGCAAGTTGTGATTTGGTCTACTGAAGTTATTATTCGGTAGAGTGAATTTATCATTTCCCATAGTCAATTTATCATTTGGCATTCCCTTAGCCATGTTGTGATTTGATCTATTGAAGTTGTCATTCACTAAAGTGAATTTGTCAATTCTATAATCAACTTGTCATTTAGTATACATGAGTTGTGATTTCAGACATTTCACTAAGATTTTATATTTGTAACGTGGGACCGAGTCTTTATTTCAGATATTAAGGGTCTTTATTTGTCATTTTTTCTTCCTTTTTCCATCAATATTTAGTTTTATATTTTCTCTATACTGAAAAATATTAATTATTTTCTAGACTTCAGAAAGTATTTTACTAATAAAGATGACGTCATATAAAAATAAACGTTAGAGTGCAGTAGAATGAATGGTTCCGCAGTAGAGAGAGTCGACACACGACTGGAGACATCAGAAGCAGAGCAAGCATGGGTGCGCGGGCTGTCAGTGGGGTTTGTTGCGATAGGGTGCGTTGGAAAGGCACCGAACTGCAGGGCAGCCCCATTTCCATTCCAACAGTCGAGCATGCTTCCTTTATTTTATTCGTCCATTTGCTTGCGAAGTGTAGTCCTCGTTCCCTTATTTTCATCCTGATCTCACCTTCCCCCCCTCTAATTCAACTTTTCTTTTATTTGCCACAGGAACATTACTATCAATTATTTTCATCTCGTCCCTTTTTCTCTGTCCTCTCGCAAAATTCTCTCTCCCTCCATTCAAGCAAAGCAGCTTTAACCTTTTATTCTCGCTACTTTTTCTCTTTTATGTTGCTAAACCAGTTGTTATTTTCTGGGTTTCTGTGCTATTGATGGGATCTACTTCGTGATGGGCTTCTCTCATCCAAAACCAACCGGGATTGCCTCTGTGAGTCTTCTAATGCTCCGTCTTCTTCCCATCTAGTTTCAGATCGCTACTGTAATCACAAGCTCAAATTTAGGACCATTCTGAGAAAAATGATCTGGGAGCTTGGCTTTGCCTGCGTTGCCCTGCCTCGCCACCTGCCAAGCTTCGGTAAAAACGACGGCGACGGTTATAGAAAGACGAATCTAGAGCACAACAAGGCGTGGTTGCTTGCAGAGTCTGATGGGTGCGGAGCAGAGGTGACGAATGCTGACCCACAATCTGTTCACTCGTCTTTCCGTTTCAGTTTCTGTTCTCAGGTTGAGCTCGAATCCTGGAGCTTGAATTCTTCCGCTGCTGCAACCGTCTTGATGGTCAATCTGGACGATAGAATGAATAATGCTCGAGCTCGAGAGCTGAAATGTCGGAGGATCGAGTTCTTGGAAAAAAGCATTTCCCCTGTAGCCAACACTTTGATCAGGTTCAACTACGGTGAAATTCTATCTGCTACTCGCAATTTCTCCGAAGGTAAAGTTGGTCGGCCGTTCTTGCTTAACTCGGATATTATTCCAGGCAGGAGATTGTAATTCTATTTCTTGTTTGTTCTTCTGTTTCCCTTTTACTTGTTTTGGGTAGGAAGAGTATTGGGGAGAGGAGCCTTGAGCTGTGTATTTAGGGGTAGAGTTGGGCTTTTGAGGACTGCTGTAGCAATCAAACGATTAGACAAGGAAGACAAGGAATCTGCGAAGGCATTCTGTAGAGAACTGATGATTGCCAATTCTCTTCATAGCCCAAACATTGTTCCCCTTGTGGGCTTTTGTATTGACCCCGAGGAGGGTTTATTTCTGGTGTACAAATATGTCTCCGGGGGCAGCCTAGAGCACCATTTGCATGGTATTTCATTTCTCATTCTCATCGAACCCTACTTTACGAGGTCTTCGGTTGAAATTTGACGATATTCACTTATTCTAGGATATCTATTTTGCAGAAAGGAAGTGTGTGAAGGGTAGTTCACCACTTCCCTGGCCTGTGAGGTATAAAGTTGCCATTGGAATTGCAGAAGCCCTGGCTTATCTGCATAACGGAACTGAAAGATGCGTTGTTCACAGAGATATTAAACCCTCAAACATTCTTCTTTCCTCCAAAAAGACTCCTAAGGTGAGATGCATTCTTGCAGATCAATTGTAGTCTGATAATAAACCCATGCACGCGACTTATTTTGATTGTTCATCTTGTTAAATCACAGTTATGCGATTTTGGATTAGCTACATGGACTACTGCACCTTCAGTTCCTTTCCTCTGCAAAACAGTCAAGGGAACATTTGGGTAAAACCTAAACCTCACCGGTCTTGTTCTGCCAAATGTCTATCCTCCACCCCCTCCCCTTTTTTCATTTTTTGTTTTCATACACAAATGAATGAAATAAAATTTGTGCCTTTGCAACAGTTATTTGGCTCCTGAATATTTCCAACATGGAAAAGTATCTGCTAAGACTGATGTTTATGCTTTCGGAGTTGTTTTATTAGAACTCATAACTGGCCGGAGGCCAATAGAAGCAAAAAAGCCACCAGGAGAGGAGAACTTGGTCTTATGGGTGGGTGATGCTTTAATTCTTGCATTGTTGCCCTAGCTTCTGATTCTATGTTGGTTGAATTGATTTTTATTGTGGATTGTTGGGGGGAAAAAAGAAAAAAAAAAAAAACATTGAGCATAACCTTCTACTGCCATCAAATAGTCCTGTCCATTAACTCATCCGAAGCAAGAATGCCCTTCAAATTAGTTTTTCGTTTCTCTATCAAACAGTACAATATTTGATGAATGGAACTTTCTTTTATCCCTTATCAGATAGAGAAAACTGAGAATTGGCCTTTTATCTGATACATGGATCAAAATTGCTTGATAAAATATAGATTTCTGATGTGTATAACTAGCTAGGATAGTTTATATGTTCATTATAATGATCACTCAGGGGAAATATTGTTCTTTCCTTTTAATCTGTCAGAATAAAGCAGATATCAGATAGCATTGGCTTGTTCGCTAGAATTTATAGATTAGAGACTCTAGGGGTTGTGTTTGGCAAACATGAAGTAAGAACCATGTACTTTGAAATCAATGAAGAACTCAGTTACGTGCTTTGCTGTATTGAAAGCGAACTATGACTTTTCCGTCATAGCAGAAAACTCCATACAATTTTTGGGTAAATTTTTGTAATGGTAATTTCAGAGCAGCATTTAATTCGGTACTTATGCAAAGAATGGTAAAAATCAAACGGAAAATTGACTTGTTGACGCATATGCCATCGGAAATTAATATGCAGGCTAGACCCTTCCTGCAGAAGGGGAAGGGGGCCATTGAAGAGTTGCTGGATCCTCGACTCAAGCGCAGTTTGAGATTCTCAAATCAGATGGCTCAGGTGATAGAAGCAGCAGCTGCCTGTGTTACGAATGAAGAATCTCGGAGACCTGGAATACAAGAGATTATTGCAATACTGAGAGGCCAAGAAGAACGTGTCTTGCCTAAAAGGAAGAAGTCTGGTCTACTTGGGAATGGGTTGGTAGTTGATTGCTACCCTCAACTACACCAAACAAATAACGAGATGAAAAGACACTTGGCTCTAGCAATGCTAGGAGTTTCAGAGTTTGAGGATGATGATTATCTATATGGCCGTTGAAACACGACAAGTAACATGTGGGTTTTTCTTAGTTGAAGGTGTTAGATGTGAAGATCTTGAAATTGTAAATAGAAAAGGAAACTCAAAAAATTGTTTTGAGTGTAGAAGCCTTGCGTCTTTCTTTCTATCTTACAGGGTAAAAGAGCAAATAAATTCATTCCAAGTTTATGGTGGCCGTTCAAATCTTGTAAGTTATGGGCTATCAAGATCGAGAGTGCATGTTTTAGGCAAAAATGTGTCGATACTTGTAAAGATTTTGATTTGCAAAATTACTGTGGCATCTTCTTTTAACAGGTAGAATGTGCCAGGCAGGCAAGCTGAAAATGCATCCGCCAGATATACAAATGCAAATGGGTTCCGATGAGAGAATCCTAAAGAGGAAACATGTTTACATGATGGTATATAGAGGAGACAAGACATGCACAAAAAACAGCGGATTTGGTGGTGTTAATTCCTGGTGGCGCATAACTCTAAACAGGAAGCTAAGAAAAGATTGAAATTTAAAAAAAAAAAAAAAAAAAGAGTTAAAAAATCTTGGCAACGTCCTTGACCAGACCACGGTTGACTCTAGCGAATTCCGTGAATTCGTCGTAGGAAATGAAGCCATCTCCGTCGGTATCAATCTCCTCCATCATCGTTTGGATTTCCTCTGCGGTAATTTGCCCCAGTAATTTCAGGGATTCCGCGAGCTCTGCCGCTGAGATTTTGCCATCGCCGTTTGTGTCAAAACGCTTGAATATTCGATCTCTGTCAGCAACATGCTGGGGATCATCAGCCATACTATAAATTATAACGGGCACCAGGTTTTTGCTTCTGGAGTTGACAGTGAAGTGAGTGTAAGATTGGGAGATCCGGGGGCTAATAAATGGGTTTCCGTTGCTTTTTAAGGGCATATGCCAACATGGTCATCCTTCAGCATCGGAAAACCAACGATCAACAATCAGACATTAGCTTCCATAATTAGGATCGATCGTTTTCCATAGGTCTCCCGAATTTACTAATTTAGTTAAGTTCGTTACGGAGTTAAGGTTGTTACGGTTGGACTTGATATTGCTTTTTTTCCTTTTTTTTTTTTTAATTTCGAGGGTGTGCATGTGTTGGTTCATGCAGCGAGCGGGCGGTTTTTTAAATAAAAAACATTTTTAAAAAACTGATAATTCAAAAAATATTTTTATTTTAAATTTTATACACATCAAAATATCTCTTTTGAAGAAACGAAAGTACAATAGAATTTAATCTAAATTATTAAAATTTGATCTAGACAATGTGCTAGAGTTATTTAGCACTCATCAGTTGTTTGGCACCAAAACTCATCACAACGACAATAAAAAACCTCATTTCACTAGGTAGAGTTGGCTACATTAATCCCATCATATCATTAAACTCTATGTAAAGTTGAAATTTTTGGATATATTATTAATTAAAAGATCTCGCTCAACAATCTAAGTGTTCTCTTTGGCCTTCTCCTATCTTTTTCTAGGAGACACCATTTAATCAACACTTCTCACCGGCGCATCCAAAAATCTTCTTTGTACGTGACCAAACCATTTCAAACTTTTTTCTATTGTTTTCTCATTAATAGCAATCACTTTAACTTTTTCACAGAATCATATCTTTTCTTGTATAACCACATATCTATCTCGGCATTCTTATCTTTGCTACCTCCACTTTATGGTCATATTATCCTTTTAAAACTCAACGTTCACGACCATATAGCATTGTTGGTCCTAGAACAGCGCCATAAAACTTGCCTTTAACCTTATTAAGTATTTTATGATCACAAATGACTCATGTCGCTTTTCTCTATTTAAACCACTTAACCTGAATTCTATGATTAACATTACTATTGATTTCACCAGCACCAAAACTCATTCTTCTTCAACGAAAAAAATCTCTATATTTAATATCATATATTTATTATTTAGTTATCCCCTTAATTTAGTTAATATTCATGTATTTTTTATTTAAATGTTTTTAATATAATATCATAATTTTTCTAGGACTGTAACTAACCGATATTATATTTAATAGTACTTTCGGTCTTTACTATAAGACCTTGTTTGCCTTTTATTTTGGTTCTAAATATAAACCCCAATCTATTTTCTTCTCATATTTATTTTTTTTAAGATAGTCTTTCTAATAATAGTAGTTCTAACCAGTAAACTTGATTAGTAAGGATATTTTAGGAAAAACAATATCTATTTATCACAAATAACTAACTTAATTTATTTCCTTGATCTACTTAAATTAGTTAACTGTTTTTTATACTTAGAACTGGAGGTAGTATGTCACAATCGCTAATCTCATGTTTTTGTTTATTTATCACCTCCTGAGATCCTGATCCGCATACTAACCCCCACTTATTATTAATCTCGTTCTCATCATCATCGTTGTTGTCAATAATACTTGCCTTTAGAACTTATTCCTCGACTTAGTTGTACTCCTAAGGGGTTTGTTTCTTGTTTTTATTTTTTGATAAAAAAACAATTTTATTGAAACACCATAATATTATGCATTAGCCGACATAACATAAAACACCTACAAAACAACACAAGCCCAAATTAAAACCAAACATAACAAGCCATGCAAGCCACACATCACATGTGAGTGTAATGTAGGAACCCAACACTGTCCTTGAAAGTAGGGGTATTTACGGGACGAGACAGAGACAGGCCCATCCCGATGAACAAGGACAGGACAGGACTTTTGTCCTGTATCCCGTCCTGATCCTATCGGGACCGTCCTGTCCCTCTTTTATTTTTTGTCCCTTTCGGTTTTGGGCCTTTATTTTTTTATTGGGACTGTTTTAAATTTCTTTCTGTTTTTTGTTGTTGCCTAAACTGAAAACTATTTTGGGCCTTTGATGTAATGAACTAAATATTAATTTTATTGTAACAAATTGGCCCGCTTCAAATATTTCTGCAGCCTTCAACAATAAAAACTAAAAGCGTAGTCCATTTTCTATGAATTCCCTGCGTTCTTCATTTATTTTCCTAGTGTCCATTCTTTTCTTTTTTTTTTTTGGAACATGTATCAAATCAAATCAGTTCCTAGAAGCTAACACTCCGCCAACATGCACAAAACACAAGACCCAAGCGAGCTACTGACAATTAATATCACTCCACTCTAGGGCTTCATATTATTATTTTATTCGTTTTTAACATTTAATAATAATATATAATTATGTATTATATAAATAATTAAATATGATACAAATATTTTTTTTAAAAAAGCATACTTATCGCATGGGACCGGGACGGGACCATCCCATCTCATGTCTCATCCCGTCCCGAACTCCTTTTTTGTCCCGTTCCAAAAAATTTCGAGGCGGACCCGTCCAGTCCTAATAAGACCGAGATCGGAACAGGCCAGTTTTAAACACCCCTACCTGGAAGCCAGCCTCTACAGAACACGATGCATGAAACCACCAGACATAGCTTTGAAGCGTTGGAAAATAGCGGCAGCCAAAGTAAAGCCACGCACAAGCGTAGCGTGCTATAATTATGTAGTGCGTATTTAAAATGGTGGTAGCATCTTTTAGGAGCGCTCTTCAATTGTGAGCAACGAAATAATGAGGAGAAGAAACGTATTTATAACATTTTAAAAATTTAACACTCAATTATTCACTTGGTTCTATATTTAGCCGCTTCATTTAGCGGATTCGAACCAAATAAGTACCAATGGTTTATACTTACAAACGATTCAATTAAACAAAATTTATTTTTTGTGACATGCATAATTTATTTCCATCAAAATCCAGCGTGACCCTCTGTCTCTCTTCTCCTTAGAAAAGTACAGGTGTGTTTAGATTGACAGTAGCAAAACTAACTTCTATTCTAACTAACTTTTGTAAACTGAAATTAGAGTAAAAATCAGTTAGTGTAATGCGATTTATGTTTGAATATGTGCTTAGAAAAAGTCAGTTAGAAAAGTTAAAAGTTGTTTGAATAATTAATAAAAAAAATGAGTTTAGTTGTAAAATAACTGAAAAGAACATAAATTTTATTGAACAGTAGAGTTGATATTATATATTTTTAATGTGACTAGAAATGTTAGAAACCTGATCTCCACCCAAAGACCCCATGTTAAAGAAATTGTCCAATCTACCATACTAGAAAACTGTGGTCTTCCTGCCTCTTCCTCTGAACAATATGTCAATATTGACATACCTCAACCCTTGATCAATGAGTGGATAGCTCAAGGTTATACCTATCTCTATATTGGTACTGTACGCTTTATTCTTACACTTCATGGGAGAAAAGGAATTACAGCCACTGCTAAAGTTGCTCTAGTCGATACTACCTACAGTAATGCTTTGATTGGTGCTGTCCTGACCACTCTTAGTAACGGTAGTGTCATCCTTACCATGGCTCCATACTTCAACATCAAGATTTCAGATCCAACTTTGACGAACAGACTAAAAATCCAAGTCCAGATAGTTGGTCCAGAACAAGATCCCAGAGCTATCACAGCAACTCTTCATCATCAAGTCATCTACGGACTCCAGAATCATGCTCTTGATCTTCATTTTCCAAATTCCACTAAAGATGCTCTTTATGTGGTTTCTGATAGAGCTGATGATACCTCCATTATCCAAATTCCTCGACAGATCCCAAAAGAGGAGCTTGCTCAGTTGATGCCTCTTGAGTGGATCACCAACTATGAAAAACACTTTCATGGTGTGCAGAGGGATGTCCATACTTCTACTCCTCCTGAGATAAAAAGGCTTCCAGATGGCACAGGCAAAACTATCCTCACCAAGCCAGGCCAGGAAGGTTTTTCTGTACCTTCTGGACGTATTTTGACCATCACTCCAGCCTATGTTCTATCCAAGCGAGACCCTCCGATTACTTGGGTAGATCAGAATGCCAAGCCATGTTATGTGTCTCATATAAATGGCCATTTCATTTGGGATCATGCGCCAGAAGAATGTGATCCTGACTGTAAGTGTGATACACCTTACTGGTGGGAAGCATCAGACAATGAAGATGAAGATGGATGGTCTTACCCCATCAGATATGCCATAAAAAAGAAGAAAAGGGAGAAAAACACATCTCCTTGTTCCTGTAGGCATTACCATCATCACCATGATGATGATGATCACGGTCCGAAACAGAAAGCTAGAGACTGGAAGGCTCCTGTCCCTACTGTTCCTTCTAGCCAATTATCTCTATAAGATCTACTTAAAGAAACAGGTCATGAAGATCTCCTTCCTAAACAAAGGCCAGATCCAGTAATTCCCGTCGTCCAAAATCCATCCCGTGTATAGCAATGATGGATCCTTATTAGCAGGATTTTCTTCCCCTTGAAAGAAGAACCAATAGAGAAACAAAGGTTACAGCAAGACCTTTCTCTGTTCCAACAGAAATCTCTCCTACTGGTGAAGCTAAACCAGTCTCAGCAGCAGAAGAAGTTCTTAATTAGCAAACCCAGAATGCAATCATCCAGAATAGAACCTTGACAAAGATTGATTCAAAGCTTAACCTGCTGACTCTTACAACTGATACTCTAACGAGCAGGCTTGACCAAGTCTCTGATCAAGTCAAATAGCTTTATATGACTCCGACTTCTCAGGCTTATCAACTGGATGCAGATCTGAAGTGATTTATCGAAAAAGGATACATTGGACCAGAGTTTACCAGGAAAGAGCAAGAACTGTCACAAATCCGAAAGGATTTGCAAAGAATCAAGTCACACATCGCAAAGGATCATTCACAAACCATCTATGACCCTTATCCGTCTTACCCCTCTAGTTTCCAACGTCCTACATATCCAACATTACCTCCTTCTTATCCCAGAGAATCTGATTACAGTAAGGTT